ATTCAGTTGAACTAAACTATGCTTGCCTATTTAAATATATTTACATATGGCTTTTGTATATCTTGTATATACATATGTATTATTCATATCTTTGGTGTATAGGATGCAAGCAGATTTTGACATCAAATTTTGGGGTTAAAGAGTGCATCTTATATATCGAAAAATACCGTAAATAAAGAGAAATAAGTGGTTAGACATACAAACAATAAGAAAATACAACAATAAAAGAGTGAATATTTACATCAAATTATATTGTCCAGAGATATAACAGTGAGAAGTATCTCAATTGAATATAAAAAAAATAAAAAAATCTAGAAAAAAATAAGACATATGAGAATAGACTAATAAAGGCAAAAATATAATAAAGAAAAAGATTTGCCATAACAAAAGAAAACCAAAAAACTTAAGTGATCAAGTTAGTGACTAAGAAAAAGAATGCCTTCTCTTTGCTTTCTAGTGAACAGAGCAAACTTGAGTCCAAGTATAGAGAACTTCGAGTCTACCAGTGGGTTTCATAGTATCATTATTTCTTATATAAGAAAAATATTCATGTGGACAATCTCCTAAGCGATGACTCGACACATCAATGTATAGCAAGCCACATTTATTAGTTCAAACAATACATCAGATTTGTCAAGTTGTATGTAAATTACTTTTGTCTTTGGAATTTTCCATTGGAACCACATAGGTGGAGGTTGTGCTGTTAAGGTATTAGCAGGTGATGCATTTCTTTCTGTGACAATATGATATACCCGAGTTTACAAAGAGGGTCAGTTTCTGGATGATACTGTGAACAAAATGCTTTTGATATTGTTATCATTACTGTAACAGATAAGTGGATGTTATTTACCAATTTTGAAAGTTGTGGAGTCATCAGTTAGGATACTGATGAGTTGGGTATCTCTAGAGGTATTAGGATGGTAGGTAAAGATAAGTGGTATTTGAAAGTTTGTAGGTTTAGGTTTTAGGTGTATTTTCAGGTTATACAACTGGCATATTGAAGGGGAATATAAAATGCTTAAGGTAGAAGCAATTGATAAAAATATCTTTCATTTCTTCATATTTTAACTCAATCATTTTGTCCACTGCAAAGTCCACACAACCTTAGAATATGGAAGTGACTAAAATTGATGTTGTGGATGAGTTATAGCAGAGATGAATGAGAATGAGTGGATTTTTAAGGTACTGATTTAGGTAAACAATGGACTTGAATAGAAATAAGAATGTCTAAAAAAAAAAGGAAGCTCATTAAGAAATCGGTCCATGTGAAGGTAAGTGCAGGATAAAAGTAGAAAACAAATTGTAAAAGTTTTTTTAAATCACACAAGGGTGCATGAGACACACCAATAATGTCATCACTATAGCATTTGTAAAGAGTTGAAAATGTTCCTTGATAAGTGTAGAAAATTTTCTATATATTCAATAAATAATGAAGCATTAGAAAGGCCCATTTTAGTTCCCATAGCAACATTTTTGTTTGTTTGTTGGTAACACTCTCCATTAAAGAAGCAGAGTTAATATACTTTTGGAGGGTTTAGTGGAGATTGCAGATCTAGGTACTCTTTGAAGGCTTTTATACATTTGTCACGTGGAATCAATATGTAGAATGTTTTATTAAAGTCCACAGGAAATATATAATGTTCAATTTCAGAAAACTCAAAATTGTTGAAAATTTGTAATGCAAGTGGGAAGAGATGAGACAATGGGTTTAAGAACATCATTAAAGGAAAGCAAAATTAATTCAATGAGACAATTGCCTGAAACACTGTTTCATATTTGTCAATAAACTCGTGTAAATTTAGCGAGTGTTTCACCTTGTTTGTTTTCTTGTAAATTTTGTAATTTCCAATCCATATAATTCTTTTATTATCTTAAGTGAAATATAAGTAATATTACTGCTTGCTTCTTTATACTGCAAGTTCTATGGCATTAAAAAAATCCAACTAGGTATACGGTATCATATTTATATTTACATGTACGAGTTTCCTTGCTCTGTTTGACCGACTTTATAAAAATTGAAAATAAACTTATTATTTGGAGCTACACTTCATGTCATGTATTATTCCTCATTAACTCCACATCACTAGTTATTGTATTTGTACATAGGTTCATTAGGTTTATACTTTTCACATATAACTCTTTCACTGCCATGTTTGTAAATAAACAACTCTCTCAGAATAATAAAATACAAGAAGAAACATGTTTTAATATCTGAAACTTGAAACCAGATGCATCACTTGCTTGAAACTGGCAAACATTTTATGGTGATACAAAAATACAAATTCATATGGCAGTGATCTAGGAGGGGGGACATATGTACTCGAAACAGTCAAAAAAAGTTAAAGCTGTTAAGCTAAAGATCCAATACTTTAAAGATCTAATATTATAAAGACATTTAAAACCTGGATTTAACAAATATTTCAATTACAAATGATTTAACCAAAATTTTCAATTTACTATATACATTTTCATGTGAAAATGTGTGTTAAAAATGCATCTTTACTTTTAGGTTTTGATCAGTAACTTGCCAAATTCCAACACTGTTTCAAGCTCTGTATTTCTTCACAGCAAAGTTAAACCTGCACAATCAAAGCCATTTACTATTCAAGTGAACTTGATAAAATAAGTTTGTGCAGCATGATTGTACATTACGTAATATATGTAAACCGTAACTTTTCATTAAAAGTACATACAAATACTGATTATTATTTTATCAGTTAGTACTAAGTGTTCATATACACACACACATTATTCTATTGTTTTAAGAGTTTTGGGCATGTGCTATAGGTCAGTTATACTCAATCTCATTCAAAGTCTACATAAGGAGTAATACTTACACTACTTCCTTTAATATCAATGTTTGGAAATCTTCTGACAACATGCTTGATTGCAGATTCTAAGCTCTTGTCTGAGAGAAAAGAAGGTTTAGATTTTGCATCCCCACAAGCCTATTGGATAATGATAAAAACTATTATACATAAATGTATGTCACTTATTTCCCAACAAAAAATATAAGAGAACATTGAAATTTACTAATACATACAAGTGTATATGTTTGTTCAAATTACAAATTAGTAGGAAGTTGACTTAGAGATAAAACTGAAGCTCTGACTATATGTATTTTTCAATAACTTTACATATTTGTTAAACAATGCTTTAAAAGAAGTTTTATGATATGTTTCTTACTGAATTTTAAAACTGTTTTCAATTCTTGAATTCTATTTTATAGTTTCCAGGGACAACACTGTGTAACTAGGTGAAAAATTCTGCCTTAAATTTTGAGATTACGGTACTTTGAAAATAACAATTTTGCTAAAACCAAGATAAATTATCAACATGATTCAAAATTTTGAATAATGCATTTTTTCAGTTCATTGAAAATTTCTTAAAGTACAACATAAGCAGCAATACAGTACTGTTTAACTTTGGTGTTAGCATGTATATAATGGGTGTGAAATTCATATAGCCCAATGCCCAGGACAAAATGTTATACTGTTAGAATCAAGTAGTACTTTGTGCTATCTACAAATGTTGTAAAGATTAACAGCTTTATAAGCACAAAATTAAGTAACGATGAACAAACACAAAATAAAAAAAAATATGAAGTTGATTACCCTGACTAGTTTCGTTATACCACTGAAAATGATGCAGGTGGTAGTGTCAAAATACACTAGGGTAAGTCAACTTACATATTTTGTTAAATTTACTGTTTCTTTCTATTACTTAATTTAGTTGCTTATAAAGACT